GTCTTACTAATTAACCCATAGCTAGGGGAGGAAGAGGAAGATTCATAATTTTCCCAAAAGGTATTTGTGCATAAGTGAATATAATAAACCCAACTGAAATTGGAACTCAGCTTCTCTACGATTAACAATTTCAAACCATTATCCATTGTACCACCAACACATCCAAGCTTACAGCACCTGGTATTCCCAAGCAGTCACCTAAGTACTGATCAGACATTGCTTAACTTCAGTGATCATATGGAAACTGGTGATTCAACATATGACCAGAAGTGGGGGTGCATTGCCAAGTGTTTAAAATATTAGCCTTCTGACCTGGGTTCAAATCTCACCATGGTCAATTTGTCAAGAATGTGACTTCTTGATAATATCAGCCTGGAGAGAGGATCCCACCAGAGGGCACCATTGGGAAATGCTTGAAAATCTAGCCATGGGTTGACCAAAGCCTTGTGAGTGAAACTGAGTAGACAAAACTTTTCAAAAGCCATCAATGGTTGTGCTTGCATGAACTCACAAGTCATTGTGACTGAGGGTGTGAGCATACTGGATTTGTTCAACTACTGGTTACATCAGATTGTGCACTATCCAGAAAAAAAAAAAAAAAAAACACAAACTGTAACTAAGTTTTGTTCAGCATAGTTGCATTTTAAACTACATTGTGGAAACACAAATGTGCCTGAGCAGGCGTCTGCAACAATGATTAGCTAGCTACCCTAATAGACTGACAGATGCTTGTATTTATATATATATATATATATATAAAAAACATTTTTCACACCATGCACAATAATAAACTAATTATAAATGCTAATCTATACATAAAAAATCCTGTCATTACTTTATAAGTACTGTACTTGTGTACACAAATCAAATATAGACTGACAAAAATTGCCCATGAAAACATTTAAAATTCTTGTCTTAGCAAATTTCCTGGTACAATTGTTGATTTCACAAAATCTCAATCTTCAAGCATCCACTAATTCACTTATAGTTACCAACAATTGCTGTCATTTCTCCAGCGCCTCTGAAGTGGAGATAGTAAGAGCTACAGTCAGTGCCTGATATTTCTAACAAAAAACAGCAAGTGCTTATTTCCATGGGCACATGTATTAATCAGATCAGATTGTCTAGGAGGAGGCAGTCTTAATCAGAGAAAGTAATTATCATTAACTTCCTTTCTAGACACAACCAACAATTTCTCAAATAAGATCCACTTGCTTTTGCCTTTTTTTTTTTTTTTTTTTTTTTTTTAAATATTCCAACCAATTATAATGGATTTATTGCATTTTTTTTTAGAATCCCATACAAACTTTGATATCAATGTACTTTTAGCATAATATCTCCTATGGAAAGATGCTCTGTGATTGCAGTATTTATTTCCAGGCTTATTCAGTTGCTTATATATATATATATATATATATATATATATATATATATATATATATATATTACACACACAGGGTGACAAAGTCACTATACATTTACTTATAATAAAAAGTAAAACATTGAAGCAGGTGGCTTGCAGTTCAAACAGTATCAGTAATTCATTTTTCCCCATAGCATTTTATTTTTATTAACCAGAACCATTTCAATAATAAATTTCTGGACTGTTGATTAATTGATTTGTGTTGTTATTGTAACTGTATAGTGACTTCATTTTTATATATATATATATATATATATATATATATATATATATATATATATGTGTGTATGTATGTTTCATTGAATAATCTAGATATGTACCTACTTATTTTTTATACTGATCCTTTCTAATAAGTTTCTTGATGTTGAGATGAAATTTTTCAAGGAAAAGCATAAATTACACCTACCTCAAAAACTGTTAAGAGTTTGTGCAGATCCTGTAATTTTCCAAACTATTTGTGGGTTTAAATTTTTGTTAGTTTTTTTTTTTTAGTTCTCAAATTTTTTTTTTTTTTTTGAAAGAGCTGTCTGGTGTTTAAGTTTAGGGTTAGAGAATGAATGCTTATGAGTATAAAACTTTTGTATCCTATCCCCCACAGAAATTCCAATGTAAACTTTTTTTTTTATTATCCATATTTTCTTTAGGGGCTTGATATATAATCTTGGCAGATTTGCATTTTCCCTCTACTGGACAATTATCTTGAGATTTACAACTACAGGAGGGTTCAATACTAGGTTCATTGTTGGTCTCATAGAATTTCCTTAAAAGTTGGTTGTTGAGTTAATAATTTTATAAATGTTACCAGAGTATCTAATCTTAATCATTTTCCTATTGAAAATCTTACTTAGTTTGGGAAGTGCTTATTGATTAACTTTAGAAAATACTGTCCAATGTTAATATTTGACAATTTGCAGAAGTGGGGGGGGTTGAACCATATAGTTTTTCTATTTCTGTGTCTACTTTTAATTTCAGATATCTCAGTGTTATTTATAAGGATTTAGTAAGAATTTATTTTTAAAACCACATTTTGGAAGGTCATTTTCATGTAATTTTTTATTTTCATTATGTTGGATGATAAACAACTAACCCTAGGGTTAACGGTAGTAGGGATCGGTTTCAAAATAGCTTCGTTGGGTAGAATTAGCATCAATATAGGTGGGTGTTTCATTGTCTTTATGGTATGGTTTAAAAGTTTTATTATTGAGGTTAAGATGGCAACCAGTCTGAATTCAAAACCTGCAGAGAGTCATTTGGAGACCTTGTAGCACATTGTGCACTGGTTCTCTGTATTCGGCTCTTCCAAAAAGAGTGGTTGGTTCTGTATAAAAGCCTTCACAACTAAAATCAAATGATTTTTACAGGTCGTCTGGCTGTCAGTTTCTAGGAACTGAGTTGCTTTATCCTCATACATTGAAAAACAACCAGAGAGTCCAGTATATATATATATATATATATATATATATATATATATATATATATATATCTCAGTGGTGAAAGGTCCATTTATATAATGCATGTCTTGGATATTTTGTGTCATAAAAATTTATTTTTACTAGTTTTCTTGCCTTTGTGATCATTTTATAATATCCCATTCCTTCATTTCTTAGAATAGATTGTGAACAAGAGACATTAGTAGAGTAAGCAGAAAAAACTACTGTTTCCATGCTGTAGCCTTGAGCCAGTTGTATGCATAAGCAGAAAGAATGTGGAAGAACTAAGTAAAAGATTAACAAGATTGAGTGAGCAAGAAAAAAAAAAAGTGTTGGAGTAGTTCTTGCTTTCAACATTAAGATAGAGCAATTTGGTTTTAATTCCCAAGAATAAAGACCTTTCAAAGAAGAAAAAAAAATTCACAGCATGGTACCGATACTTTTTACAACAAAGTGATCAAAAAATTTTCTAAAACGAGGTGACGAACTGAATTAATTTATAATTAAATAAATTTTAAATGTATCATTATGTACTGATTTTATATTTTTCTCATATTTCTCTGGTAACCATTAATGTTCATCATGAACTGTATGCCTAGATTTCAAATTCACTCCTCACACACACATATATATATATATATATATATATATAAAAAATCTATCTCAGAGTAAAGCAATGAAAACAATTTTTCAAAGTATGTCTCTGCATACATCTAAATAAGAATGCACCCTGCAACTCAATCATCCCAAACTATGAACAGAAAAAATTCACAATGGAATTAGTAGAAATAATATGGTAAGTGGTTTCAATACATCAGGTGAGAAAGAAACCTGTGCAAAGGTGAGTTATGTTTGCTTCACTCAAAATAGTCAAAGATTTTATTTTTATTTTTTTAAAAAAGAAAAGAAAAAGAAAAATTAACATTTTATAGAATTTTTACAGATATTAAAAAAACAAACTGGAAATTTGCAAAGTAAATGGACATATTGTCAATATATCAAATGTTGGCATTTGGATAAACTCTTCCTTTATGTTCTTGGATTTTGCTAACACAATGTTTCAGCCTTTATCTTTTTTTTTTTTTCCTCTCTTATCTGAACAAAGATGAAATGAGTCAAAACAAAATTTAGAATAAAAAGATGGGCCTGCAACTTAACATAAATGATACAAGGAAAAAAAATAAATAAATAAAAAAAAATAAAATAAAAAATACAGCCATGAACAAATATTAAAACATATTTTAAATTATTCCAAACCATGTTGCAGGCACAGTAAAAAAAATAAAAATGAAATAACAAAATAAATAAAACATTTTCAGCTTTTTTATAATCTATCTTTACTCTGCTGTGAGTTTTCATATCAAAATGTATAAATACATTGATTTATACACAAAAATAAAATTTAAATGTTTATCTGGGTAACTGAAATAAGAAAATGGAAAACTCCTATGTTACATATTTTGCCCTTTAAAATGGTTTCTTAAGATAAATAAATGGTTTTATCAATAGAATCTTATATATGTAAGGGGGGGAGCATTACATTTCTATATCAAGAAACACTGTAGATCCAAGGACACTTAGTTTTAAATTTGTTTTATTTTCCACCTTCCCAGATATAAGATTTTATTGATAAAACCATTATTAGTCTGAAGAGGTCCTTTTAACAGGATGAAACACAACATAGAAGTTTTATCATTTCAATTAGTCATATAGGATTTTATATCAAAATGTTTATAGTTACACATTAAAAATGAATCTTTTTATATTATATATATATATATATATATATATACACACACACACACACAAGTGGACACTGAGATCAAGCCTGAGTGACAATGAAGATTGTGTTCAAGCATTAAACAGACTGTCACCACTCAGGCTTGATCTCCATATACATTTTTACATTTATATACACTATTCCTGATATTGAGCATTTTTACCCATAAATATATGATACCTTAAAACAGGGTAAAAGTATCCAATATCTGGGATAAAGCATGTGCCCACACTCCTTTGATGTTATATAATATGAGAGGCACTTTTATTTAAATTCAAATAAACAAATTGACTTTAGTCAATTTTTTGCTCCCTAATCATTACCCAGCAGAGGAAAATTTTGTGTTTTTAATAATTTGATGTTTGTTCTAAATTTGAGAAGAAGAACAAACTGGAGCAGACATAAAAAATTGGAAAATATTGACTAAAACAAACATAATTATAGAACCAACAGCTGAGCCTGCCTGTGTGACAGCACCATACCATAAGAGGCCTCTTCGTCCCTGAGTCCGGAATATCACAGCTATACACACTTTGGTGTAACTGAAAAACCCTGCTACGAAAATCCACGAGAGAATCTATGGAAAAATAAAGAAAAAATATATTTTGTTTAAATTTTTGAAATGAGGAATCAATATTGTTAAACTGTAACATGACTGGTTTTCTAGAATCCAGATCTTTATACTTAATTTCTATATGTGGTCATGTGAATGATGAGGTTGATGTTCTAAGACTTGGAACAGTGTCTTCATCTTTGTGAAACATTACAAATTTCCCAGAAAGTTAACAATTATGACACATCTGAAGAAGGTTAGACAATTATATATTTTGTTCTGTTGGAGTGCTGGGAATAGAAATTTATGAGGTCATTCTTGTTGGTAGATTTTCTGTAAACCTCCAACAGAAGGTCATTATTTGTTCTATGTAGCAGAATATCTAGGAAAGGTAAAGTGTTGTTAATCTCAGATTCAAAATTAGAAGAAACATTGAACCCACAATAGATATTACTTTTGAATCTGAGACTAATAACACTTATCCTTACTAGATAGCCTGCTACATAGAAGTAATAATGACCTTCAATTAAAAGTTTACAGAAATTCTAGCAACAAGAATGATCTCAAATTTCTATTCTTGCCACTGCAATAGAATAAAATCTGGAATAATTATAGGATTTTAAATAAAATACAGTGTGGCTGAAATACTTTCCATATAATGGTAAAACATTAGTAGAGATGTCTTCATCTGGATAATGCCTTACCATTATGTGGGAGGTAATTCTGCCAAATCCTGTATAATATAGTGCACAAGAAATGCAAGGAGTTAAATAACACCTCAGATTCTTAATAAATATATATGGAAATGACACTTTGGTGCATAGGTGTACCTCCAAAAATCTAGATGACCAATGCTTAGCAGCTGAGCTCTCCTCTGACCCAACTCTCACATCTCACTGGAGGAATGATTGGCTGGTATCATTTAATACCTCCAAAAACAAACCTAGTAATATTTCTTCACCCTTGAGAAAACTCTAAGGGTATGACTACTCATCAGTATTGGTGCAGGTTTAAAGAGATTCTTTGCCTACTGGGTCGCAAAGTTCACTCCCAACCTCAAATGAAATGTACATATTTGTACCATCACAGAAGATGCTGAAAGAATGGTCAGTGCTTGAACCATTGCATAAAATACCCAACTCCTGCTACCATGCTCTGTCTTTTATAAAGATAGAGTCCGATCAGATGCAAAATGGAGTATTGTTGCCGTATGAAAGCTAGTGCTGCCCAGTTTTCACTGTCCAACCTTCAAAAGCAATTACTTGTGGGTGATGAATTATTCCCCACTCTGCAACCATTATCCCACAGACGAAACGTTGCTAGCCTCTCAACTACACTATCACTATGGACAAGTTACATTCCTTAGTTTCATTAGCTCAGACAATCACAGCTTCGAAATGCCAGGTCATGTTTATGGTGATAAATCATCCCCACTCCATTCATGGTCCTTTGTCAAGGAGCAAGTTACCATTCATACAGTTTCTTCCCTAGAATTATTACTCCTGAGAGGATGCTTCCCTGACAACTAAAATCTTGGTCTCCTCAAGTCCATGAGTAACCGATATCTATCCTACACCTCATAATGTGCACTTCCTATTTCCCCTCTCCCTTATAACAATCTGCTTAGTAACCCTCTAGCATGAGTGGCTTTTGGGCCTTGTATTGGGCAAACAGTATAAAAATAAAAGTAATCATTTTTAAGGAACAGTTAAAATATATATTAAAACAGATATATCCTTACCCCTTACCATAGAGTTGCTAAAAGTCAGTCAGTTATGTGCCATGCATGATACACACTTAGGCGATTATGTATCATTCGATACATGACTGACAAGGCAGATTTTTTCCCGCATTAGGTTGCCGTTTCTTTCTGCGGTAGACCAGTTGCCATCAAAGGCTATAGAATCCCATCTGTCCAGCTATTTACCTATAGCTGTGGGGATAGGAAGAGGATTCATACCTTTCGCAAGGGTTTTAGCACATAAGTGAATGTAATGGATTCAACTGAAATTCAAACTCAGCTCTCTGATTCCTCAATCAGAGCTGGCTATCCATTACTCCACCATTGCTAATAAAGTAATGAATAAAGATTAAGAAAGTTTTAATGTGTGTGTGTGTTCATTGATTTGATGTCATATATGAATTCTAAATGTAAGCTTTAAATCCTGTCATCATATTGATGGTTCTTTATTCAGCTTTTACCATGCACTTAAAACTAAATAAGTATGAACTGATAGATGTGTGTGAATGGTGGGGGATTACTAATAGATATGTGTACATATGTTTATGGGATGAGGAGGTTACTGGTATGAGGTAATATTAGAAAGTTCCCAGATAAAGCTTAAACAAAAATACACCTTTAGTACAGTTAATATCATCATTTGCTATTATTTTCAAAATAGTGCACCGATCTGCTATGGCAACTAGCCAATCTGTTTCAGATGTCTGCTCAGGCACAGGTGTGTTTGTTCAACACCTACAGAGCCCAACTGTGGTTTATACTGAAACTATGCTGAGCAGACCTTAGTTACAGTTTTTGTGTGAAAGCTTATAATCTGGAATGATCAAAAGTTTGAACAAAGAAAGCACACTCAAATCCTCAATCATGATGATTTGAGACTGTGCTAGAACAACCATCAATAGCTTCAGAACAGTTTCAGTGACACAATTCAACTTACAAGGCTTCAATAAACTTGAGGTATGGTTTTCAGGCAATTCCCTACAGTGATTACCTCCTCAACTGATAACATCAATTATCACCACATTGACAAATCAACCATGGTAATGTGTTAACCCTGGCCTCATGGTCAGAAAATGAACATTTTAACCACTCAGCCATGTTGTTTGGCACGCTCATCTTCTGACATCAAAATTAAATATGATTATTTTGATATCTAACCAACATTTTATCATTTATTAAAATTAAGTACACATATAAACCAAACCAAAAATATCAAATACCCAATTCCATATATATATATATATATATATATATATATATATATATATATATAGGAGTGAAAACTACATAACATATTGATCCAAGCTTTGAGAGTGAAATTTGGTATGGAGAAGTGTCCAGAGCAGTTAATGGTTATGCTAGCACAAAGTTACAAGTCATCGTGACCAAGGGCTTGAGTGTTATGACTTTGTTCAAACTGCTGATCATAAGCCCTACCAGAAACTAACTGATGTCCACTTAGCATAGATGCAATATAAACCACAGGTGGGCTCTGTGAATGTTGAATCAGGTATTTGCAAGAGGGATTAGCTAGCTGCCCTAGTCGTTTATATATATATATATATGTGTGTGTGTGTTTATATATATATATATATATATATATATATATATATATATATATATATATATATATATATATATATATGTATGTATGTATGTATGTATGTATGTATGTATGTGATTAATACAAATAAAATTTGTCACTTAACTGATTGATGTTATATTCAACTCCTCAACTCTAGAGTTTTATAGATTAAAATTTTTGTAATTGTTCAATCGACTCTTCAGGAGGTTTCAGCAATTAATTGCTATTCCCTCATTTTGTGTTTTCTTTATCATAATTTTGATGATGGCCAAAATCTTTTTCATTGGATTTATTATTTGGTGTGTATCTTATGAACAATTCTTTTAACATTTAGAATGAATTAATGAGGCTGTTGTAGTTTTTATGTAATTAAATTCTTTGTCAAGATAGTAGAGGCTACATATTAAAAATCCTCTAAGTAAAAATTGTTATTTTAGTTTATTTGTTACTTTTTTTTTTAATATACACTTTAAATTCAAATTTATTATTGGATCTAATTACTAAAATAGAAAAAGTAGGTAGAGAATTTTTATTTTCTATTTCAAGAAAATTCAGTAATTGCTTCCACCCTGACCAAACCGGTTACCAAAATAAGTATGGATAGATTAGTCCTTATTAGTTTCTTCCTAAATATCATTTTCCCAATTATAGGTGTCTTATTCTGGTGGGAAATACAGTATGTACTTAGTTAACATTTGACCCCCAAAGCTCTCAGCATGCCTAAGCAGTGAAGGATCAATAGAAAACACTTAGAGGATTTGTGAAAAGGGCAGTACAATGTCAGCTTTAAATAAATAGATACAATTCCTAAGAATTATTCACATTTTCTTATTGTGGCTTTATTTAAGAAGACTTGCAAATATTTAGGTGGCTTATAAATTTGAACGACTTTAAGAACCAAGGAATGTAGTTTGTCCAAGCACTTTCCTTGGAAGTATCAATAGAGCAATGAGAAACTTGCCACATCCTCCTATGGGAGATTGGTTGGAGGGTGGAAAATAATTCTTTCACAAGGATTCAAAGACATTTTTGAAAGACTGAAAAGTGGAGACTGGGCAGTTCCTGTCCAAATATGGCAACAGTACTCCATTTTCAGCCTGATCTGAAGGTAGAAGATAACATGAGAAGTCAGTACAGGAAGCTGATCATTTTACCATTTGAGGTTAGGTGTGATTTTGAGGCCCAATATTCTCTTAAGGGATGATGCCTCCTCGAGGGGAACATCCATTCATCATGACTGGCAGTAGTTCAAAGTCTGATCAGTGGTGATGGAATGTAACTAGTTTGGTTTTTGAAGCATTGAATGTAACCAGCCAGTTTTTTCCCCACAAGGAATTTAGTGATAGATTTGAAGAGAGGTCAGCTTCCAATCTCTGATCGTCAAGAGTTTTAAAAGGTGTGAAGACAAATTCATAAAAAGGCTTTAAGGAAGAAATAGATGTAACGATTGTTGCAGAATGCATAGGCTGGCCCAGAATGGCAAACTCTGGTCAGAAGATCTTGTGGACATGAAATTCTAACAGTAATAGATTGCCTTTAAATTTTGATAAAAGACAAAAAAAAAAAAAAAAAAATAACTTGAAGACACAGAAACAGCTGCAAGAGTTCGAAGAATCTATATTGCCACACTGCACCCAGATTCTGTAGTGAAGCAAGCCAACATGTGGGTAATGAGATTTCATTCAAGTGGTTGACATTTACTTTGTCAATCATCTCTCTCTTGCTTCCTTCTAGACAACTATAGTACTTTCAGAAAATAAATTGAGATAAAAGAAAATTGCCTGTCATTGATGCAGTCTATGATGTAGCATTGGGGTTTGAAGCCAGATATGATACCAAAAAAAATGCAACAAGATAAAACAGTATTTAAAATATTGTTAAAAGCAAAACCAATATTTGTGATTTGTTGTCAGATTTTCCAAACAAAAATTTTTCAAATTAAAAAAAAAAAAAAAATCATATGGAGACATGACTCTCCACAGCTTCCTTTTAATATCTGAGAACTGCCATGATTTCTTTTGCTTGGTGTGGTTTCCTATTGCTTTCGGATATTAAAAGGATAATCCAATAATAATTTTCAGAAATAAAAAAGAATTATCAATATACTTACTAATAAAACTGCTCCTAGACTTTCATCTCGAAGAAAAGGGTTTGGACTGAGTGCTGCTAATGTAAGGTCATAACCTGCAAAACTGCAGCCAATAAGAGTCAGAAATGAGATAAAAATTATATTTTTTGTGGGTAGGAAATAGGCGATGAAACAAGCAATAGGATTGGCCATGATGCCTAAAAGTACTGACAAAGAAAAGGGTTTGTTTCCATAGGGTAAGCTGGCATATGGCTGAATGGCCGGTAGGACTCCATTTGATAAACCATTGACGAGTGCCGTTAAAAAAAGAAGATATACATTGACAGATGTACTCAGTTGTTTTTTAGTTATGGTTACATCATAATCATTTCCTTCTTCATCGCTTGATATTTTGTCATCTTGGTTTATGAGATGCGACACTGACTGACCGTTATTCACCGATTCGGTGCAACTACATGGTGAGAGTGAAGCATCAATTGCTGTTGTGGCAGTCACTGAAGTCATTAACTCTGCATCTTTCCGTGAGTAGAGTATACCAGAAATATTACTGCCGAGAGTCATTTCGTCTTTGAGTTGTGGGAGCAGGACCAGAAGAGTAAAGGCAATTCCAGATAGCAGAGTCATGATGAAGAGAAACAGGAAAAAGTCTTGTGGAGGAAAATTTGGTTGTTGGTATTGAGGAATAATCATACTCTCTGTAGAATTCTCCCAGGTGTCATTTACAAAAACTGATTTGTTTGTAGTTTTGTTGATACAATCTACTATACCAGCTCCTTGGCCAAGAGCCACAAGACTTGGGAGAAGTCCACTTAGACCTTCGCCAATAAAATAACTTGTCATGTATTTTTCTTTAAAGTTTGCAATGAATGGAAAAAAAGCCACAGAGGAAGTACAATCGACTAAAGCCAAAAAGAATTCTAATATTAACAAGGCAGAGCTGTGTAGACTGCCAGCAACAAGTGTCGTAAAATCCCAGAAAAATGATAGTAATAAACACGAACTTGCTCCGATGGTCAGAATGAGAAGAATAATTGCCTTTTCATGGTAGAGTATACTTGGAGTAAAGACACTAGCCAAGGTGTAAGATATTGGACCAATATTAGCCAGCTGGATAACCACAGACATGTATGAAGGTAGGGCCCATTTTTCAGGAAGTTTCTGAACTAAGAGTGGCAATTCAACCCAGATTCCATTGATAGCAATCCAGGAACTGGTACCAAATATGCAAATGAGAAGATGAACAAACACTGATCGGTTACAGCAGCAAGTAAGGCCCATTTTTTTTTTTATTTTTTTTTTTTAGAAAATATTTTTCACTCAGCAAAAAGTTGGAAATCTCTCCACCTGAAAGACCAAAAAAAAAAAAAAAAAAAAAAAAGTTAATAAATAATTCATGGAAATATAGACAAAAAATATTTCAATCTGTTTCTAATTTTCATTACTTTTTGTCATTTTAGAAACAGATAAATCTTTAACAAGTCCTAACAGGTGATCTTATTTTGTCGATAACAAGGAGGGAAACTTATTCAGCATTGTCATCTTTCTATCTCTTCAAGTTTTATCATTCCATGTCATTATGGTTGATAGTAAAACTGAGAAGGTACTTACATTCCTTTCTTTAATAAGAGACTAGTTTCTTCATAGTATTCAAATATTGACTAATTTAGTTCTTTATAAAACTTCTAATACCTATAGATTAGAACAGTGTTTCTCAACTGGTGCACCTGGTTGCACTAGTGCACCCTGAAAGGTCTTGACAATCAGGGATTGCAGCTGACCTCTTTTCTGATCTAACATTAACTTCCCAACAGAGAAAAAAACTGGCTGGTTATATTCAATGCCTCCAAAACTAAACTAGTTACATTCCATCACAGCCAATCAGACTTTGAACTACCGCCAGTCATGATGAATGGATGTCCACTTAAAGAGGCACCATCCTTTGAGAGAATATTGGGCCTCAAACTCACATCTGACCTCAAGTGAAACTCATATACAATACATCACTACAGATGCAGGTAAAATGATCAGCTCCCTGTATTGCTCCAGTAAGTACTTGACTATCCTTTAACAGCCAGATCAGGCTGAAAATGGAGTACTGTTGCCACATTTGGGCAGGAGCTACCCAGTCCTCACTTTCCAGTCTTGATAGAGTTCAAAAGCCTCTCCAAGTCCTTGTTGAAGAAAAATTACTTGCTACCCTCCAACCTATCTCTCACAGGCAGGGTGTGGCAAGTCTTGCACTGCTCTATTGCTACTTCCATGGAAAGTGCTTGGACAAACTTCATTCCTTTCTTAAGCCAGGTCTAACCTTCACAACTAGGACACACCATACCACTTATATAGTAGCAAACCACCCATATTCCCTCTGTATTCCATCAGTGAGAAATAAGTTCCACTTGAACAGCTTCTTCCCATAAACCACTGCCCTGTGGAACAGACTCTCAAGAGAATGCTTCCTCAATCATTACACTCTTAACCTTTTCATGTCTAGTATTAACCATTAACTTCCCCTCATATACATATAAACTACCCTTAATGTAATCCTTCCAGATTTCATACACTTCACTCAGCATTACTGTAACCTTCTACCTTAAGTGATATTTAGTAAAAAAAAAAAAAAATTTAGCATGTATTTTTTTTTATTAACAGGCTTCAATGATAGCATTTACTGGAAATGTTGAAATGATCAACTGGAACATAAAAATTTTTAGATTTCACAGAAAAACATCTGAAAAATCAAAATGTTTGTCAACGTCCATATTGCTTAAAATCAATTTCAAACTAGAATCTGTAAGCTCATCTTTTTCACATATTTTTAAAAAAGATGTTTAATGCACTGAGGAAGAGTTTTGAAACTCACATTTAAATGAAGTTAACAATGTAACCATTATGTTTTGGTTCTTTTTAGATGATGTTCTACAAACTGCTTAATATTGAATCATAAATTAAGTTCTACAACAGCATTCTCAAAATGAATAATTTACATGAAGGGATTATCTCAAGTGTAAGAAGCTGCTTAGATGTTTTGTTTTTTTGCCATTTGGGATTATCATAAAGCAATTAAAACAAACAAATTACATAATAAAAATTACAAAAAAAAAAAAAAAGCTGTTGTTAATTGTCATTAATTTTCAAAGACAATGACATTTTCTTTTTTGACAAAATATTTCTATTAAATGTGTTGTTCCACTCCAGAAATTTTCAGGTAACCTAATAATTTTACATTACTACGTCTGTCTATTTTGTATAAAATTATAAATACACTGAGGTCAGTGAATCCAAATGTGTTATAGCTGACGTCAGATAAAGCATAGGAAATCTGAAATGTTGGGGACAGGATAAAACATTGACTATGAACTGTAATAAATATGTATAAAGCAAAAGTATTTTAATAGTAGCGGCAGATGGTCTCTCTTGTCAGCTAACATTACACGTGAAAGTAGCCAAGTTTTATAAATGCTACTCAGTCCAGCATAGGAGTTACTTTCTATCAATAAATTTGCTATTCTTTTTATTGTTAACACTATTCTCTCTTTTAAATTACAAAATTCTAATTTTGTTCTGCCTCAAAACAATTTCTATCAGGAATCATACATAACATATAACATACAGAAAACATTAAAACAAAAAATTCATCATGGTCAGTCAACAGGTTTCAATAAGCGTCAATAAAAATAAAATCATCACGGGTTTGTCCGAGTTGGTTGGTTGTTTTTCTTTAGCGCCATACCAACCTACACATGTTATTTAATACCGAAATCTAAATATTTTTTTATGGAATTTTTTTTTTTTTTTTGATTTAAAATAATGACTTTTTTTTTAAATAATAATGGTTTCAGTGATACAAGTCTTACTAATTAACCCATAGCTGGAGGAGAAGAGGTAGATTCATACCTTTCCCAAGAGTATTTGCACATAAGTGAACATAACGAACCCAACAGGCATTGGAATTCAGCTCTCCAATTAACAATTCCAAGCCATTATCCATTATACCACCCACACATCCATGCTTACAGCACCTGACATTCCCAAGTGGTCACCCATCTTGGTATTGACCAGGCTTGACATTGTTTAACTTCACTGAGTATACAGGAAGTCTTTGTTTGGGGCTGGGCAAATTAGAAGGTAGACATGATTACTACCACCCACCTCTTAAGAGAATGGCACAAAAGAATTTATGAAATGACCCTAGAAGACAAAATTTTGAGAAGCCCAAAAAAATCTCAAGAACATTGAGTCAAATGTTATAATCTCCTCTTCTTCCTCAAACGAGGGTTATTCAAAAAGCTCTCTAAGCCTCACCCAGAAGGAGTTGGAGAAACACGACAATTTTTCACTATTTTTCAGTATAATCCCTCTTGACATCAGTGCACTTAAGCATTGCAATCCCATCACAGAAGATGGTGCCATGGTCTTCCAAAACCTCCCCCACAGCACATATGATCTCATCATTGTTTCCAAAATTGTGACCATACAGGTGGGATTTGAGTTTAGGAAACAGGAAGAATTCAGATGGAGCCAAGTTTGGTAATTAAGGAGAATGGAATAGTGATTCAAAGCCACAGGTGTCTGCTTCAGCTACTGCAACCTGAGCAGTGTGAACAGGCATTTTTATGTTACAAAAGCACACCTGCCCCCAGCTTCTCCCTGCATTTTGACTTTATTTGCTTCCTTCAGTTGTCTTAATTCTGATGCATAGGACTGTCCATTAATAGTTTTTCCCTTTTCCATCTAGTCTATCATGATTAGGACTTCAGAAAAAAAAAAAAAAAAGCCAGAAGCATCACCTTGCCAGCACACACTGCCTGCTTGAATTTCTTTGGGGTGGAGAACCAGAGTGTTTCCATGGTTTGCAGTGGTGAACCCAGGATTCATCTTGAGTTATTAATCTGTGGTGGAAGTAAGTCAGAAGTGTCCTGGAAATGTCAACCCCTTTTCAGCTTCTAAAACAGTATGGAGCAAACCAAGAACTAATACCTATGGACTTAGCTATCTGCTGGAAAGGAACTCCTCAGCATATGTTTGTATCATGTCCTCATGGATTTCCTTGGGTGTCATACCTTTTCTTTTGCCAATATTTTATGACTGCTTGGGCCTCCGTTTTGTTCATTTTTAGATTTGTCGTACACCTCTCACCTTTGTATGGGCCTCACCTGCACAGAAATCTGAATTAGTTTTACAAGAATTGCTATTGTGTTTCCACAACAATATACTCAGCAATGGCTCTTTCTGGATGAGGCTTAGAAATTTTTGAACAACCCTCATAAGCATTGCTGGACCAAGTGCAGTGATGTCAAGAGGGACTATATTGAAAATAGTGAAAAACTTGTTTCTCCAACTCCTTCTGGGTAAGGCTTAGAACTTTTTGAATGACCCTCATATTGGTCAGGCTTGAAACTGCTTAGCTTTAGTTGTTCAAACGAGAACATGTGCTTTCAGCATGATTTGATCCAGTTAAAATGTAAAAATTGCAAAATCCAATATGTAGCCCCATTTTTTGGGGGAACAATATTCTAGGTTACTAGAAGAGTCTATCTCAACATATTGGACTCTTTTAATAATGAAATAGGAATAGAATTTGAGTATTTTAAATTTGACAAATAAAACACCAGATCTTTTATCTTAAATTATTTTCTCACAGGTAGTGGTTAGTAGTTTTGTAATTACATTATATTCATAAAAAATTGAAAAATCATTTTTTGATGATACAGATAAAATTAACATTTCTTCTGTGCTTGTCCAAGAATCTAATTGATGTTTTTGTTTGTTTGTATATTTACTAGTAATTTAATAAATTTTATCTAAAAAGGAATTCACCTTTGACCCAAGCCTTGTCAGTGAAACCATATATCTATTTAAACTGCTCAGAAGAGGTCAATGGTTGTACCAGCACAAAGTAACAAGTTAGCATGACAGAGTTTGAGTGTACTGGCATTGGTTAACTACTGAGCCAGTCAGATTATGTGCTCTCTCCCAGAAATTGTAACTAAGGTCTGATCAACATAGTTGCAGTGTAAATATCGGGTTGCCTCTATTAATGTTAAAGAAAGACAAATAGGCCTGAGAAGCCATCTTAAGGATTCAGGTAGAATCAGAAATGAATAACTACCCATATAAAGGCAAATAAAGTTTGTTTTTTTTTTCCTTAAATTCACATATTGCACAAAGTTCACAATATAAATTTGTTTTTGCTTTCTTTTACTAGAGTGTAATAGGGCAGTAGATCTAAGTCATGCTAGTGCATGGAAAGTGGTCAGTGACTTGAGGTATTGAGAGATTTAATAATTCTTAGCAATATTAGAAGAAAAATGAGAGGAAGTGGTTAATTAAATTAGGTTCTGATTGAAAAAAAAAAAAAACTGCTTTAAAAATATTAATTTAAACCCATAAAATACTTATAAGGAGGGCATCGGAAGAGTTTGAACTCAAATTAAACTAAGTATAATTCAGTATAACTGACACACCCATCCCAATTCCATAACCCCAAGGAAGTTGGCATGAGTAATTTTAAGGTTTGCTTGTTTAACAACCTATACAGTATATTCATGTTGATTTCAATTAAAATCATGGAAACTTAGAAATCCAGGCTAAAATTGAAAAGTACTTTATGATATGGCCATCTCAGTTATTTAACAAGGAGGTTCTTTGTTTGAGAAGCTAATTAATCATGTCTATTCTGAAGTCTCTATGAATAAAATAAGCAATAGTAGAAAAGAGTTATGCAGAGATCATCAAAGTGCATGCCTCAAAGTCAAACACTTGGAGAAAACCAGCAGTCCTGCCCATGTTCATCATGCATTAGAGAAAATCTGCTGTAGAAGTCATTCTCTGCTAAGACATGAGCACTCCCACATTTCTTAACAGATGTCTCTCAGTGTCTCAAAGGTAGAAAGTGATTGACATGAAACAGCCCCATAGATGTATAATTTTTACATTTCACCTTTAATTAAATTTTTGATAATTTTTCAACAGCGCCGTTCCTTTTGTTAGCAAGTTTACACCTTTTGCAGCAAGATCACTCGGCATTGAACAGTACAATTGAAATATTGCACTGATCAACAAAACCCCTACTTGTCATTTCTAGCAAGTATACAATGAATGGAATCCACTAGATCACACAAATTTCGATGAAGGAAATGAACTAGCAAAATTGATTGTACCGAATGCAAGCCACCTTCACCAAAATGTACATCTTTCTTCATATGTTCTTCCAATTCATTAGTATTTCATATTCCAGTATCCTCCCCATGATTCCTTAAAATCTCCTTTTTAAATCTTTGCAATCCATTCTTGACAACTGCTTGTTTGCTCATGCTACAGTTTCAATGATCCATTGCCTCAGTTTCTATCACTTCTGAGATTTCCTTAACATTGTACAAAAGATTCTGCTAGAAACTCTCAACATATAAAATTACTATTATCTGTCATGATTCTAAAGTCTTAATGAAAAAAGAAATTAGCCAGTGTTGATCAAAATCACAATAAGTGTATATAGAAGCGATAATAAACATGTCACTTTAAATGAAAAGTGAGATGCTTTGATGTTATTGTCTAGCCTCGTTGGTTGGCGTTTTTTGTTTAGTGGCAAACTTTGACATCTAGCCGAGAACCAATTTAAAATTTATAAATATTACAGTAAAAGATGACAGAGAATTGGTTAAAACAAGAAGATCATAACATAAGCTGAAATCTCAGAAAATGTCTTGGGGAGAAGGGAGCGCAAACCAAAACGGCCATAACAAAAGTAGACACCTGCATACTACAGGGTGCCATGGGTAAATTGTCACCATTTTATGTTTTTAATTTTTCACATGCGCGTTGTTTGTTTTTGTCAACAGCAAAGTATAGTAGGGTCAGTTGGGCACTGTCTGTGAGAAAAAGAAAAACATGACAATTCATTACACCAGAAATTTGGAAATGGCATGCTGTACTGCTTGGCATTCATGCTGGAAGCTCCAATACAAACATTTCAGAGTGTTTGGGTGTCAATCTGAGAACAGTGCAGAGGATTTGTAAAGAGTTGGAGGAGTCTAATGGTGATTACAAAGATATGGCAGCTCGGAAAACTCACTCTAATCATTCTGACAAGAACCCGAGGGCCTCAGACACTTTAGGAGGTAGTGATGCCCTGGATAAAGAGGGTAGATGCTGGAAGACCCTATGTCTGGCAACAGTAGTAGGAGAAACCAGTCATGGCTGTCAGACAGTTTCTGCAACCATATCACCCCTTACATCTGGCCACCTAACTCCCCAGACTGCAACTCCCTTGATTATTATGAATGGGGCACAGTTGAGTGAGAGACCGACAAAACTTCTCGTATATCCAAAGACAAACTGAAGGCAAGGATTATGGCAGCATTCACCAACTTAAACAAGGAAACCGTCCAGAAGAGTTGCAGGAGATTCCAAAGTTGTGTAGTGGCTGTGGTTGAAGCCAATGATGATTTTATTGAATAAATTTACTCTTTAGTATTTCAAAATATTTTTATGTAATTTTGGTAAATATATCTTAAAATAATATGTCAGTTATTTTCCTTTTTGCATAATTTCAATAATTTATCCACCGCATGCTGCATGTGCATTGAAGTTGAAAAGCTAATAACCAATTCCATTATTTTGTACTCGTCTGTTTCACCTCTTATATCAGTGATACAAGTGGTTCGATGAAAATAATACAAAAACTAGTCATGGGATTTAATTACATGTCATGATTATGCGGCTTTGACTATGGAATGAATATATAAAATGATTAATAAGCATCCAAGGAATATATTCAGATATTCTACTTTATGAATGAACGAAAAAAAAAAAAAAAAAAAAAAAAAAAAAAACGAAAGAATAAAAAAAAAATAAACGGAACAGAAAAGAGAAAAAAACGAAACGAGAGAGAAAAAACGAAAAGCGAAAAACGAAAAGGAAGCAAAGAAAACGAAAAGGAAGCGAAGAAAACGAAAAAGAAGAGAAGAAGACGAAAAAGAAGAGAAGAAGACGAAAAAGAAGAGAAGAAAATGAAAAAAAAAATTGAAGAAAAAAGACAGAAGAAAAACAAAAATAACAGAAGGCTTGTTCCTGGTCTCAGATAATTACAAAAGACTCTTTATTCTTTTCTTAGATTTCTCCTCCTCTTTCATTTGGCATCATGTGTTAGAATGGAACATTATCTGATCATGACTAAAGCAAATTGGGTATTTTCTACCATTAGACGAAACAATCCTTGGCCAATGCAAAACATTAATTCCTGCTAGAATAAGTTTATATAGCAAATATAATTTTCAAACCTTGCTAACCCAGCCATGAGATGTTTTTGTATAGACTCTTTGAATTAAAAATATTAAAAGTAAAGTCATTTGACTGCTAAGGTCATTTGAAATTTCCTACATGTCTTTCTTGTAAAGTTTTTATTTTTGAGATGTAAATAGTTTTTTTTAAACATGTCAGGTAAATTACTCAGAAGTAATAGTTTCTTTGAATATATGTTATAAAGTTCATTTAACAGTCATAGTTCTGTTAATAACACTGTAAGGAAAAACTGGAACAAAAGGTTGAATGAAGAACAGGTTTAATCATGTGAGAGACATGTATTAATAATACAGTAATAGAGAATATCGTAGTTCAGTGCAACAACGACATTGCGGATGGACAAGTTCACATTCAACAATTAGTGTAGAGAAGGTCAGTTGTCTTTTTACACAACAATATGTCATTAAAATATTTCTAAGAAGTCATTCTTAAAAATCTTTTTACTAACAGAATTAAATTTTATTGAAATTAAATATTTTTTAACATTAAAATTTGTAAACAGAATTTACAGTAAACATATCAATTAAAATAGCTTTAATCTTGAGAAAATTTAAAAAGCAAAAGATTAAGAAAAATTTCCCACATTTTCTTCCTTTCCACCAGTTCAGACCCGGTTACATCCAGAGTTGAATCAACCCCATTTCCTCTGTTTCAAATTTAAAAAGAGACAGCCCACCCCCATCCAGAGAACTATTACTTTGTGGAACTGACTCCCACATTTCCTGAACATTACAATCTTAATCTCTTCAAGTCAAAGGTCAATCATAATCTATCCCCTTATCCTCATAATCTTAACTCCTACAACCTCCTCTTACATTCATATCACACACCTCATTCAGTAACCCTCTAGTGACTTAACACTTGTATTCGGTGAAACTTAGTATTAAAAAACTTGAAAGATAAATAAAATTACAGATTTTTTTTCTCTCAATTGGCTGTTAAAATAGTTACAAGTAAAATTAATGGTAATATTAGATGTTTCCTTATAAGTGCTGCTTTTGGTTGAAAATATAAAAAAAAAAATCTTTCTCTTAAAACAATTTTTCAGGAAAACAGGTTTCTCAAGTAGCTGTCGTCACTGTTTCCATTGTATTGAAGAGGGTTTCCTTCCTAACCTTTTGTTTGAAGTAGTGTGGAATGTCAGCCTTTTGATAATATCATTTTCACTTCATGTTACACATGGGCTATCTATTTTAGTTGTGGCACTTGTCCTCAAGTGATCAAGTAGCTTCCGTTATTTGGTAAAGTTTTCCTAAATGCTTATAACATTTTATCTACTCACAGTAAAGTTGCAAAAATGTCAGATTTTTAGAGAAAAATATCTAAAAACAAATAAATTATTTATTTTGAATCAACCAATTAAAACTGCAAATAGAATCATTTAGAATTCTGGTCTTATACAGCTACTGGCAGTATTTTCAAAATGTTATTTAGAATGTCCAAATAATTTTTTGCAATTTTAATATAAGTAATCAATCAATAAAAGCTTGGTTCTTCTACATTAACACTTGCTGCTGTTGCTCATTAGTTCATACTATTTTTGTATTACCACTCTCAAAGAGAAAACACACAAAATAAAAAAATAGAAAGAATCCCTCCACACATACACAGAAGATGGTTGTAAAAACACATTAAAACAGAGAGGCAGATATTATGACATCAGCAAATTCAAAAGTCAGTGAATAGGAAAACAAATTGGTTGACAAGAATTTAGAGTAAAATTAAAAAATTACATCAGGAAACCAGAAAATATAAATTCAAGAATGAAAAAACGATTTAAAAAAAAAAAAAAAAAACAAAAAAAAAACAAACATACCATCTGAAGAAATTATTCATGTGTTATTTCCAGTTGCATCCTTTTAGCCTTGTCAATAAAACTGATGCTGAGTTTGAAGATATTTTTTTTGAGATCCTAAGTAAAAGAGAAAAATACAAATTAATAAGAATTTTTTCTTAGCTTTGTTTTTAAGAGCTTAAAATATTCAAGTTGAACATTGAAGTTATTTTGTACTAAAATAAATGGATGTGATAAAATTTAAGCAAACTTCTGTTCCCAACTCTGGAGAAAACAAAAGAACTTATTACTCGCAAAATATTTTCTGCAGCACTATTATTAACTCAAATGAACACTGATTCCCTAGTCTGTGTATTTCATTTTCATTTATTCCCACTATGTATTCTGGCATCTTAATTGCTACCCCCACTGTCTATTCTTTTCAGTTCTATATGTATCTATAATTTTCTATTACTATTTTTTATAACTATTATTATTATTATTTTAGTTAATATTATTTTATTATTATTTATAGTCTTGTATTTGTATATTCTTTTCTGCTATTTAAACATTTTCTAAATGTAGATAAGAAAAAAAGGTGATTTCATCATATACAAAGGATTTTGTGGATTCATTAGTTACAACAAAAAGAAAACTACACTTAAAGTAAAAAAAAAAAAAAAAAAACATTAATCTTGTAAAACAAAATTCACTTGATATTAAAACTTAGACATTTGGCTATGTTACAAATATCCTCCTACTCCGAGAATTATTAAAACAAATGTAAATAAAATGTCTTTTAAGCCCATGATAAATTGTGCCCCTTATAAGGACAGATTCCTACTTGTTTTTTTTATCTCCTGTAGAATTCCTTATTAGAGAATCTTGTTGAGAATGTCCTATGAAAGAATATCTAAAAGTTGTCTTGAGATGCACTTCCACTGTGAAGAGAAAGAGAGGCAGGCGAAAACTGGCAGAGGAGAGTGACGGTGAAAATGAAGAAGAAATGGTACAACTCTGACCTTCTATTCCAGCAAGGATGAAGAGGATAAGGTGACTTGAATAAATTCAAGAATATAAACTACCTTCATTTTCTGTACTTTTCCCCTAATTCACTTTGTCATTGAAGCTTTGATATTTAAATCTAATTCAGGGCATTATTGCCACTATCCCAGATTTCAAATTGATGATAACAAGGTAACATTTCTGATCCTGACAATTGCCTCCATCTTGCAGTTTTTCACATTTACTTGCAAATCTGGCACAAATGCAGGATGGGAGAAGGAGGTGTTCCACATTATCTTCTAATTTGTGCAGCTGATTACATAAATGTTTTCCCCCATGTTATTGTATTCTTGTTTATAGTTTTTTTATACACTAAAAATAAATAAAATTCTGACACATTGATTGTAAACTATCAAAATTTATCCACTTTTATCTAAAACCTTTAACTCTTTCAGAAACCAGTACAAGTTACTCACCAATAAATATGGAAAACAGAATGAGAAAAACCTACTCTTATCAATTAAATAAAGGAGTCAGTTTGAAATTCCTGCACAGTGGCTCAGACGATTAGCAATTTTTGAAGTTGCTGCTTTTAAGCAAGTTTTGGGCACAAGGATGTGTCTCCCCCCTTCCAGATTTATTCAACCTCTACAGCAAGATTGTCCTAAAGGAAACAGAGACCCTACCAGGATTGGCAGACCTAATTTTGATAATATAAAATACACAGATGACACGGTGTTGATGGCTAGCACAAAAAGAAAACTACAGGACCTCTTAGACAGGGTAGTAAAAGAAAGCAAAAAAAAAAAAAAAAAAAAAAAAAAAAAAAAAAAAAAAAAAAAAAAAAAAAAAAGGACTAACCATCAACTGCGAAAAGACAAAATACGGTCATCAGCAAAAGAAAAAGGCCAAGATGGGAGTTATAAATCAGAGATTTAAATATCAAGCAAGTACAGAAGTTTAAATATCTGGGAAGCGTTAGCAGAGGATGGAAAATCCGTTATTGAAATCTAAACATGTATTAGACTAGCAAAAGAAGCATTCCAAATGCTAAACAAGGTTTTGAGAAAAAGAAAAATTTTGTTAGAAACAAAGAAAAAGAGTGCTGGATTGCTATGTGATATCCATCCTCTTATTTGGTAGTGAATGTTGGACAATCTCCCCATAGATGAGAAAACTAGAGGCAGCAGAAATGTGGTTCTACAGAAGGATACTGAGAATTCCATGAATAGAGTGATTAAGTAATGAGGAAGAAAATGGCAACAAAAAGAACACTTATGTTCAGAATCTGAAGTTAGCTTTTTAAATTTTGTTTATTTCATTATCCCGTCAAAAGTTTTAGAAGTTAAGGGTTTTTGAAAAATCATCTTTCATGGCCATATAAATAAGTTGAAATGAGAAAATGAGAAAATTGAAGGTAAAAAAGGCAGAAAGGAACATCAAGTTACCAAATATGATTATTCTTGTGAGTACAACAGCCAAAACCATTGTGACCAACTGTTACGAGGATGCATTTCTATAATAAGGGATTCCTTTGAGTTCTACTTGTTATTACAAAAAAGTTTTCATTCATGAAGTAGTTGTAAAATAGAGAAATTAGAAATAGAATGTTTGGAAGATTCTAGATCATTCTAGTATATTCGAGAAAAATCTAGATGATTCGAGAAACATCTAGAAATATGCAAATTAGGTGTTAGCCCCTATAAAAATGGGATTTTGGAAAAGGGTTGTCAGTTGATGAATGGGAATTTCTGCTGTTATCAACTCCTGCTTTTGATTCAAGGACTATTATATCCAGCCGAAAGAATCTCTATAAAAAGTTGCCGACCAACCAAAACCCAAAAGAGAATTCCATGGAACAAAGTTGGTAAATAGAATTTTGACTAATTTTCATTGACCAAACTAAAAATTAATATTTATTTACACACCTTTTGTGGATTTCCAAATATAGCACTTAGATTACTTCACTAGCCCTAAAGTGATAAAGATATTTGATTCCCATTCCTTCTCCCTCGTAACACTTCGCCAGTAACTCTATTTTCTGTTTTGTAGGCCACAATTGTTTATCTTGTATATATTTTATGTTCTGTTTTAGTAAATTAAATATTTGTTTGTGATTTAGCTCTGTGTTGTGGTGATAAATCATTTTTTTTCCTTTGTTACAATTATCAACACGTAACACCAACACCCAAGTTTAGGGCATCCATTTCTGTCTAAACTGATTGGACAAAGATTTATCATTATTTACATTTGGACTATTGTCCTCATCTTTGTTGTTATTATCACAACATTTTTTTTTTATCGGGTTCTCTGGCCTTTTTCAGGTTTTTGTCAAAAAATTTGCTTTTGTATGGTTGATTTCAATACATGGCATAACATATACATCACACTATTTACACAGGACGTCTCCTTTTGTTTTCCTTTAGCCACACAAATGTATAACTTTCAGATTTTCTTTTTTGTGAGTAATTTTTTAACAGAGACACACTTTGAAGGGGGGGAGGGTAACCAAATCGCTTCTGGATAATGATCAACTGGTGAAAAAAGTGTCTATTTGATATCCTTACTCTCAGACAGAACTGAATATCCAACAATCATTATTCATCATTTGCAATAGACTATAGTTAGATTTACCATACATTTTACTTTGATCAAGTTTGTTCTGGTTTGAGGGGGTATGTCTCAGTTCCCCGTTTCAGTGCTATCCGTGTGTGCAATAGCCCTGAAGCTTAAGGGATATTGCATCATGGTAACATCATACAAGAACCTAAACCTATAATGAAAAAAATAAAAACTGCTCCAGTTTAAAGCTTGGAAATTAAGGTGAGCCTGACTATGGTTAAGAGATGAGTAATTGATAGAAATTTCTGTTTTTTGTTGAATGCTAAAGGGCTAAAATACAAAGTTATTAATTTAATGAAGAATATTGAAAACAAATGTTTTATTTTTGTTTTTTAACCCTAAGCACTCTATGGGGACTATTTTCACCAAACAAATGTTTGTCCTGCAAGTTGAATTTGAATTTCTTGGTTGTGTAGTCATATCCTTCTATGGCAACACCTAAAACAATCTTGACTGAAATTGTGATCCAGGCTACTGCAATTTCAAATATATATATATATATATATATATATATATATATATATAAACTATATTTTGAAGAGATTCCATATACAGTAAAAGGAGAAGTAATATTTATAAATGATGCAGTGTTAATATATTGTAAAGCACTGAATGTATTTAATCTTTGGATTTCTTACATAAAACATTAATCCACTGTAGCTATATAATTAAATTTGAATGACTCCTGCAGCTTAACTTCTGTAGCCTAATTGGTAAGATGCTGTCATGGTATGACAGGCTCTCAAATAGAAGAGTTCAAATCTTCCAATCCATGCTACTTGCTTAACCCATTAATGCCCACCCTCAAAATCAGGGGAAGGGCATTAATGATTGATAGGTAGAAACCCATAATACCAGATTTGACAATGAGTTAACAGTCCCAAAATAATAATTTAAAAATTGCAATAAAAATAGCAGAAAAACAGACAAAGGAGTCAAAAATTAATAATGTTGATTGCATTTGTAAGACATCTAATAATGTTGATTGCATTTGTAAGACATCTAATAATGTTGATTGCATTTGTAAGACATCTTGATAATTTGTAAGATTGTTGATTTGTAAGACATCTAATAATGTTGATTGCATTTGTAAGACATCTAATAATGTTGATTGCATTTGTAAGACATCTAATAATGTTGATTGCATTTGTAAGACATCTAATAATGTTGATTGCATTTGTAAGACATCTAATAATGTTGATTGCATTTGTAAGACATCTAATAATGTTGATTGCATTTGTAAGACATCTAATAATGTTGATTGCATTTGTAAGACATCTAATAATGTTGATTGCATTTGTAAGACATCTAATAATGTTGATTGCATTTGTAAGAATCTAATAATGTTGATTGCATTTGTAAGACATCTAATAATGTTGATTGCATTTGTAAGACATCTAATAATGTTGATTGCATTTGTAAGACATCTAATAATGTTGATTGCATTTGTAAGACATCTAATAATGTTGATTGCATTTGTAAGACATCTATCATTAATTTTATTAATATTA